TTCCTTCCTTCCTTCCTTCCTTCCTTCCTTCCTTCCTTCCTTCCTTCTTTCTTTGAGACAGGGTTTTTCTGTGTAGCCCTGGCTGTCCTGGAACTCACTCTGTAGACCAGGCTGGCCTTGAACTCACAGAGATCCATCTGCCTCTGTCTCCCGAGGGTTAGGATTAAAGGCGTGTACCACCACCACTGCCCAGTAAGACCCTATTTTTAACAAGAGAGTGCTGGGAGCTGGTGGTACAGCTCAGCAGTACATAGGGTTTTTGCTTAACACCCTCAAAGCCCTGGATTCAGTCTCCAGAACCAGGAGAAATGGATGTTAAAATATTAATGTATTTTGTTTTGGAATCATAGAAATACAGTAATATTCCTTTTTCTACAGGATCCTTAAAACCCTCATGATATAAACCACTGTTGGTCACCTCACCTGGCTGTGCAAGCCAAACTTGGTGAAATGAGCACCATTGAGAGATCCTCAAGAGCCCAGTGACATAGAAAACAACATATTTGTATCTCAAGGGATTCTGTGTATCTAGGTCTAAACACATCACATGTAAAGGAACAATACTTCATGCATATGCAGTGATCAAACAGACAACGATAGACACAGGACTATTCAATTTAAACATCTACGGTCTACACACCAAAATGCCAGCCACTATCTGCAGTGCATTCCACAGTTCTGGTGAACAGTACCATCAGGCAGGTTAACCCCTCACAACTGGGAAAGCATTACCTTTTCATCTGCATGTGTCTCTGCTGGATGAAATTTGCTCCTGGGTGAACATCAGGGCCGTTTCGAACAAGTTTCCTCAAAAAATTGATGTTTGCTTTGTTTACCTACAGGACCGCGATAAGAAACACAGTAAGACAATCTTTCCTTTCTATAAGCTGGTTAGCAGTGCTCAGAACAACAGCTGTTCACTGTATGGGTTCTAAGAGAAAGCGAGCCACCACGAGGCAGCTGTGGTCCAGTCTTGACTGAGGCTGCAAGAACACATAGCAGACAGGATCTAGATCTAACGAGCATGGCTGAGACCTTTCTCGGTCTCTAGTCTCCGCATGTGCACTGTACTGTTCACCAGGCTCTAAGGGCTTAAAGATACGGCAGCAGAACCACGGGCCGTGGCCTGCGCTAGCCATGCTCTATAACTTCTTGGTCAACGGTTTCATGGGAAAAAAAAATCAGAGCATTCTTCATTCGAATGAGAACATTTGGAACAGGTTTATGACAAGTATTGATGATCTAGACTGTCTATAGACCTCATGTATGCAGCTAATCAGCAAGCTTTATTACCAGGCCCTACGGTGGTCTAGGTCTCCACAGAGAGCTCAGGGTGGGGGCTGCTGTAACCAACATCTTATTCTCAAAGAGTATGAGCTGAACACAGACTGCTGCAGGCTTTCTGGATGAAACGGAATAGCATTCAAACGATCAGTAATTTTATAGTTTAAAAACTAACAACCTATCTAAAAAAAAAAAAAACTAAGCAGGAAGGATTGAATACTTTTATTATTTTGACAATTTTGTGACTAGAAGTTTTTGGATGGCCAGAAAATCTATAAACAAACAAGAAGCACATTTTTTTTTTTTAAAAAAAAATAGCACTATTTAGGACATTTTTTTCAGTGAAATACTTTAGAATGTGAGGATTAAAGAAACAAAGGTGCTGAAAATGTTGTCAGTAGGGGAAAAAAGCCGTAGCATAGAGGTGGAGTGGATGTATTCATAAACACAAAGCATGATACAGGGGTTACTCATGTCAAAATGTTCACATCACCAAAATGCGCAAACCAGAATGGCTAATGACACTGACTGAACCGATAAGGACTGAGTGGGTCTGGTGGTTAGGGAAAGCCTGAGATGGATGGGCGTGCCCTTCTGTTTTAAAACACTTTGGAGTGGGCTTAGGATGCGCTCAGTTGGTTTTCCAGCTATGAGGCTTCAGCTTCATCTTTAGCACTGGGGAAAAAAGATTCTTCGACAGATATAAAAATGCTCTTTTTTTCATTTGCAGCTCTCTCTAACTGACAGAGACGGCTCAATGGTTTATTAAAAGCACTTGCCAGCAGATTTGAGGATCTACGCTCAATCACTTGCACTCACTGTGGAAAGAACTGACTCCTGAAATTTGTTCTCTGACCTCCACATGCAGACTCTAAGACACATGCATTCACACTTATGCACGTGTACACACACAACACTAAAACAAAAAAAATACAAAGAAAGTTAAGTACTTTATCCATCACCCCTTTAAAAATTTAAAAAACTGAGCCTGGTGGTGGTGGTGCACACCTTTAATCCCAGCACTCGGGAGGCAGAGACAGGTGGATCCATGAGTTCAAGACCAGCCTGGTCTACGAGCGAGTTCCAGGATAGGCTCCAAAGCTACAGTGAAGCCCGGTCTCAAAAAAAAAAAAATCCAGGCAAGATGGCACACACCTTGCTTGAATCCAGCACTTGGGAGGCAGTGGCAGGCAGCTCTCTTAGTTTAAGGCCAGCCTGGTCTACATAGTGGATTTCAGGACAGACAGAGCTACATAGTGAGACCCTGTCTCAAAAACCCAAACCAATCCAAACCAAACCCAAAAGACACTTAAAAATAAAAATCTAGGGGCTGGAGAGATGGCTCAGCGGTTAAGAGCATTGCCTGCTCTTCCAAAGGTCCTGAGTTCAATTCTCAGCAACCACATGGTGGCTCACAACCATCTGTAATGAGGTCTGGTGCCCTCTCTGGCCTGCAGGGACACATGCAGGCAGATATTGTATGCATAATAAATGAATAAATATTTAAAAAAAAAAAAAAGAGGGGCTGGGGAGATGGCTCAGTGGTTAAGAGCACTGTCTGCTCTTCCAGAGGACCCGGGTTCAATTCCCAGCAACCACATGGCAGCTCACAACTGTCTGTAACTCTAGCTCCAGGAGACCCAACACTCACGGCAAAACACCAATGTATGTAAAATATAAATAAATAAATATTAAAAAAAAAGAATAGTTATAATTAAAAAAAAGAAAAATAAAAATCTATTATTGAATATAGCTGTTTTAGAAGAATTGTCTCCTTAGAGTCAGTGAGATTCCATTCTTGAGTCCACTGAGCAGGGTGGAGGTCAGTGTCCAAGTGCTGACCAGCCTGGCACACATAATCAATCCCAGGCTGGATCTCTACCTCTGCAACAAACCAACAGAAACAACAAAAAAATCCCAAAGGAGAACCCAACTACCACCAACCACAACTATGACTGCACCAGTGTAGTTGTTACAGAGGTTGTGTGTGTTTAACAAGAAGAACGAGCTGGAGCGATGACTCAGCAGTTAAGAGCACTGGTTGCTCTTCCAGAGTTTCTGAGTTCAATTCTCAGCAACCACATGGTGGCTCACAACCATCTGGAATGAATTCTGACGCCCCCTTCTGGCATGCAGATGTATATGCAGAAAGAGCACTCATTTTTAAAAACTCATCAACAAAGTGGAACTAGCTATTTTCACAAAGCTGTGTGGGCTTCTGGGGATCTGCATGATATCAATGGAAACACTGGATTCAAAACAAAGAATCGGGCAGCTGAATGGTATTTACCTTCTCAGGAAACGTCAGAATTTTGGCCACATGAATTGGCACAGCTACTTCATCAATCCGGAGGTTGGGGTCAGGTGAGATGACTGTTCGGCCAGAAAAATCCACCCTCTTCCCTGAGAGATTACCTCTAAATCGACCTAAATAAATCAAAACCACCATGAGTCCCATGACACACCGCGAACAGACATATACTCCCTCAGCAGGTGACAGTGGTCGACCTTGCCGGACACCTACCCTGCTTCCCCTTCAGGCGCTGCACAAAGCCTCGTGTCCACTTCTTAGGAGCCATATTGAGAGGGATGCCGGAGAGCTCGCTGTTGATGTAGAGGGCACACTGCAGCTGCAGGAAGTCCCAGTCCTCCATGATCATCTGTGTCTTGGCTCCTGAGATCCGGTGCTGAGTACAGAAAGATCAGAAACAAACCCGCTTTCTGAGTTGCCTTGCATTTTAGTGACCTAACATCTCTGGATTCACTGAGTGTATGCAGAAGGCACAAGTCAACAGGAAACACTGACCTTTTTAATAACATCATTTAGGAAAATGATCTCTGTCAGTTTCATTGTGAGGTCATCTTCATTGGTTCCAGACTTCAAATCACTTACGACAGAGGGTCTGATACACAAGGGAGGCACCAGAAGTCGGGTGAGAATCAAATCAGAGGGTTTTCCAGCTTCTGGGTTCATCAGAAGCAAAGGGACATCTTCAGCTGGGATGCGCTTAAACAAATTCAGAACTACTAAAGGATTCAAGTTCTCCTATGGGAAGCAGGAAGGAAGGACGAAAGAGACAGTAGGTTAGTTTCCTACAGGTTGGTAAAGTTATCCTTCCCTTTCCTTGAAAGCAGGATCCCATGTAGCCTTAAACTTGCTATGTGGTAGAGACCTGCCTAGGGCTAGCTGGCCAGTGAGCCCTGGGGTTCTTCCTGTCTTTGCTTCCTGAGTTGGGATTATAAGCAAATACCACCACACTGGCTCCTCTACCCCATGTGGGTTCTGGACATTCAACTGAAATTCTTTTGCAAGCACCTAACTACTGACTTTGTTTCGTTTTTATTATAATCTGTTTTTTTCTAATAAGCTTATATTATCTCTTAATTAAGTTCATTAAGTGTTATGTTGTGAAGGGGGAAGGGCTCACAACACTCCATCCTAGCTAAGGAGTCATTGCTAGTTTATGGCTTTTAGGGAAGGGAGAGTCAGTTTTCTTTAAGGTGTGGCTCCTGATGGGTTAACCATGCTCCAGTGGATGACCCCATATTCTTGATACTATGGATAGCATAAATTTGACTTGGTGGGTCATTTAAAGAGAGAGGCTAGGTGGTGGTGACACATGCCTTTAATTCCAGTACTAGGGAGGCAGAGACAGGCGGATCTCTGTGAGTCTGAGGCTAGTCTGGTATACAGAGTAAGTTCCATGACAGATTCCAAAGCTACATAGAGAAATAATATCTTGAAAAAACAAAATAGATAGATAGATAGATAAAATAAAATAGAGAAAAAACATGAAGTTGTGGCGGGATAGGCAGTGGATCTCATGGGGTTTGGGGGAAGAGCAGGGAGTAAACATGATGAAAATATATTGTATGCACATATGAAATTCTTAAAGAATTGACAAACATATTTAAAATGTTAAGCTATGAACCACTAACTTATTAAGAACTCTGCAAATTACCAGATTTCCAAAAATCCTAAGGTTGGAGTCAAGTATGGTGTTACGCGCCTTTAATCCCTGCTTTCAAGAGGCAAAGGCAGGCCAGTCTGGTCTATATAATAAACTCCAGGATAGCAGGACTACATACAGCAATGGTTCTCAACTTTCTCAATGCTTCAACCATTTAATATAGCTCATTTTGTGATGACTCCAACCATATAACTATTTGTGATGCTACTTCACAGCTGTAATTATGCTACTGCTATGAACTGTCAAGTAAATATCTGTGTTTTCCGATGGTGACCCTTGTAAGGGTTGCTCGAACCTTGGGGGGTAAGCCCCACAACTTGAGAACCACTGACATAGAAAAACCCTGTTTCAAAAACAAACAAACAAAAAATGGTCATTATGTGTCTTATTAAATTATGATATTTTCTGGGAATTTTATTAACTGAATCTTGCATTTCAATAATGAAATGTTATACTTAAGTTGACAACAACACACATTTTCTCTAGGGATCTGGGAGAAAAACAAAGCTAGAAAGACACATCTGTCCAGGCAGTGGTGGTGCACACCTTTAATCCCAGCACTCGGGAGGCAGAGACAGCCTTTGAGTTTGAGGCCAGCTTGCTCTACAGAGAGAGTTCCAGGACAGGTAGGGCTACTCAGAGAAAGCCTGTCTAGAAATACCAAAACAAAACAAAACAAAACAAAAAAAAAACCCAAAAAACTACTACATGTTATGTAAGTTTGAGTACTCACTAGTCTTCTGGGGATAGACTATAATTTCTGTCCAATTCTATGGTGCTGCCCACAAAAGACCAGGCTGGCACAGACTGAGCTGGACTAACCAGCTCCACCCATGAATTCCAGCACTTAGGAGACTGGGGAGTGATGGGAATGGAAGATCCTGCATTACACACTGAGACCCTATTTACTACCCCATACCCACGAGGAAAGGAAACCACTAAAGGGAAGTACAAACACATGGAGCTCAAAGCCAATCCAATCAACTCAGCGCCAGATACACACCTCTCAGGTCCATGAAGCACTATGGGAGCTGAGCCAACAACATAAATGCAGCCTCGCTTCTTGAATGTGGGTATACGGGGAATGTGCATGGAGGAGAGAAAAACTGTGCAAGGGTATGCGTCTGCACATGTGTGTCCCTGTATGATGTTTGCGAGCTGCAGGCAAAGGGAAAGCACGACTTTTCAGCTCACCTGCGCCTTTCCCAGCAGTGGTTCAACCTCTTTGTTATGCTCAATGGCTGTCTCAAAGGACTGCAGGAAATCTGACACAATGGGATCCACAACTTTTTTGTTGGTCTTGTATTTTTCATGAATTATCTTCAGCAAACCACATTTCTTTACAGTACCTGTAAGAGTGAGTTTATTTACCAAGGATGAAAAGAGTCAGGCTCTTTGCTCTGCTGGCTAAAGGTTATAGTCTAAAGAAACTGACACAGCAACCACAACGGAGAGGGGCATTTCCCAGTAACACACCAGGCCTAGTTCACAGGAAAAGGGCTGATGTTAAACACCATGCAGAACCAATCCATGAAACAAGACGTGAGCAGAAGGGCCATGGCTGAGCCTCTGACTCCCCTCACCATTAAAGGCGCCACAGTAGGAACAAGTGCTTTTCTTCCGACACTTTTCTGAGATCCTCTTCTTCAGGCCCCGCTTCTGCAGGTAGGTCAGGCCAGGCCTCTTCAGGAAATATAGAAACTGCTGCTTCTCCTCCTGGGACAGCATAATGTGACAGCAGGTTTTGCAGATCATCTTTTAAAGGTCAAGCAGAGTGGAGACAAAGGTAAGAGACTAGAAAATTCTCCCCTTTAAAAATGCATCCTCTGGCTGAGCAATGGTGCCACAGGCTTTTAATTCCAGCACCCAGGATGCAGAAGTAGGTGGATTTCTTGAGATCGAGGTGAGACTGGTCCACAGAACAAGTTCCAGGACAGTCAGGGCTTCACAGAGAAACCGTATCTCAAAAAAAAAAAAAAAAAAAAAAAAAAAAAATCAGCTGGGTGGTGGTGGCGCATGCCTTTAATCCCTGTACTCAGGAGGCAGAGGTAGGCGGATCGCTGTGAGTTTGGGGACAGCCTGGTCTACAAGAGCTAGTTCCAGGACAGGCACCAAAGCCACAGAGAAACCTCGTCTCAAAAAAAAAAAAAGTCACTCTGCAGCCACCGAAATGGGAAAGGTACTTTGCGCCAAGTCTGAGTCCAATCCCTGGGAATGAATTAGGAGAAAATTGACTCCTGTTGTGTCTTCCTCCTCTGACCCCCACTGAGTGCCCCCATCTTATGTATACACAAATTAAGTGAATGTAATAATACTGCTAAATGTCACCTCTTTGTTGTGCACATGGAGTGAATTGTCACGAACCAAGACCACAGGCACATAGAGGTAGCCTGTGTTCTCAAGGCCAGATGGCAAGATTTTGTTGCCATCTCTTTCTTAGTGCTTTCTGCATTATTTGAACTGTTGTTATTTTTGGGCAGTGCTGGGGAATTGAACCTAGGGCCTTATGCATGCTAGGCAAGTCCTTATCAATGAACATCTATGCACAGATTGGGTTTTGGGACAGAGTCTTGTTATTTAGTTCATGTGACCTTGAACGTTTCAGGCTAGTTTCAAAATTTCAATCTTTCTGACTCTGCCTCCCTAGCCCTGTGATTACAGGCAGACATCACCACTCCTACAGTTTTTAACAACTGGAATTTGGATTTTTGAGCCCTTAAGACAAGGTCTCATCACACAGCCCGAGCTGGCCTTGGACCTGTAATTCTCCTTGAGTGCTAAGAGTACAGTGTGTGTTAAACCGAGCTTCACATTACTTGCAATGAATAAACTGCCCCTTTCACTTGTTCCTTTTCCTTTAACAAGTATTCTAGTGTGAGAGTGTGCGTATCTGCATGCAGTCTATAGCTTGTGGGCAGAGGGCAGAAGGGCTCAATTCTGTCCTACACATGGGGCCTGGCCACTGAACTCAGGTGGGCAGACTTGGCATCCAGTGCCTTTACCCACTAAGCTATCTCCTCTGCCAGCTATTACTTTCTCAAGGGAAATAAAACATTACAGAATCTGTAGGGAATTAACCATAATGCAAGATTATGATTGTGGTAGTTTGAATGTAGTTGGCCACAATAATTTTATAGGGGTGGCACTATTAGGAGGTGTGGCTTTGTTGGAGGAAGTGTGTCACCGTGGGGGCGGGCTTTGAGGTTTCCTCTGCTCAGGATACCACCCAGTCAGCTTTCTGCTGCATGCAAACCAAGAAGTAGCCAGCATGTCAGCCTGCAGGTTACCATGCTCCCCGTCATGATAATAGACTGAACCTCTGAAACTGTAAGCGAGTCACAATTAAAAGTTTTCTTTATAAGAGTTCCTGTGGTCATTATGTCTTTTCACAGCAAGAGAACCCCTAACTAAGACAATAATATTATGTATTTAGTATAAAAACATCCCCCAGCTACGCAGAGAAACAGAAACCATGTCTCAGAAAAACAAACAAACAAACAAACAAACAACTTCCCCTGAATACAGCCCTCCTCACTCACAGTTTTACTGGATTTACTTCAATGCCTCTGACTAAGCACTGCTGAATCTCCCTTACCTGTAAGATGCCAATGACGGCTTTGAAGTACCCCACGTGAAAGCATGGCAACTCGAGATCAATGTACCCATAGTGGCCTAGACAGTCTGCCAAGTTTTTCCCACAGGTTTCACAAGGGCGGTCCTTTTCACTTGTACCCTTTGGAGGAAAGTATACACAACCATTAGTGGAGAGCACAAAAACACCCAACCCTCATACCTCAGAAACAGCTGGAAAGCTACAGTGTGCCTATACCAGTCACACAAAGGCTGGCGTTCCTAATTCAAAGTGGGGAAAGACCCTGACTCCTTCCTATACGGGAAGCTACTTAAGTGGTCAACTGTCAGATTCTGGGAGGGATAGGGCCTTACCATCCTATGGTCAAGCACTCCATACAACAAGGGGGCATGGTTGTTGTCTTGGCTGTACAGGTTCTTACTGACAACCTGGATATGTGCCTGCTGGCGCATCTCCTCAGGGGACTTCATTCCAAAACAAATATGGCTTCTGCAATGGAAACAGACAGGGAAAAGTCCACCAAAGCCCATGGGTCCGGGCCCACGCATGGCCCACCAAAGCCCATGGATCCGGGCCCACGCATGGCCCACCAAAGCTTCTGCTCTCCCGACTCTCTGTACAAACTGATTCTACCAGACCCAAAAAGATTTTCACTTCTCAAAGCCTTCCTTCAAAACAACCCTTTACCCTATGAGAAACAGTTTGTTTTCATGAAATGTTATCCATCTCCAAGGTCACTTGGTGCCTGACCTAATGATGAACAGAACGACTTTCTCAGTTTACTGCTCTGCAGGCACTGGTCGTTCATCCTGCTCGCTACCCAATCTGCAATTCCTTCCTCCTCTCTGCTCTCAGGGTTCTCAGCACCCCGGGACACATTCCTCTGCTCACTGGACGCTCCTCCTTTAGTGCCATGTGTTCACTTAGTTATTCCTTTAGTGTCTTTGTTCTTGTTGTTTTGTTGCTGTTTTCGAGACAGGGCTTCGCCGTAGCTTTGGAGCCTGTCCTAGAACTCACAGAGCTCCACCTGCCTCTGCCTCCCAAGTGCTGGGATTAAAGGTGTGCGCCACCTTGGCCCAGGCCTTTAGTGTCTTTTGAAGTTTCTTCTTCCACTGCTATCATTTAAATACTGGAACCCCACCTTATCTTGGGTCACAACCCTCCTCATTTTCTTCTGATTGTATGATCATCCTGACTATGCATACATGGATATCTGCCAAATCTCTTTAGGTTAGCCACTTCTAGTCAACTGAGCATAGGCATTTTCAATTTAGTGTTTTTGAAGTACTGTCTATACTGAACACATGCAGACTTCCTCCCCTTTGTTATTTTCCAAAAAAAAAAAAAAAAAAAAAAAAAAACCAACAAGCAAAATCACAGTAAAAGAGGCCAAATAGATTTACCTAGAGAATCTGTGCCACTTTGCTTAAAGGACTGAGCAGTCTCATCACTTAGTGTCTGTTTATGAGTGCTGAGGGTTAGAGCCAATGTCCCAGGGCGTGAGGGCTGTCCAAAATGATGGTACAGTCTGGGCCTCTCTGCAAAACTGACCTTCTAGCTAAACTCCAAGGAATACAGGAGCCCACAATAAGGAATTAAGAGAATAAACACTTGAAGCAGAAGGCAGATTCTGTGCCCACAGACACTGGGCATCGTCAAGCAACCACATGGAGATAGCACAGCACGGCATAGTCAGCTAAGGGTACAAGATGAGTCTAGTAAGGCCTGCAGGAGGACCAAGGCTTGGAAGCAGGGGAGAATTAAGTGGCCGTGTAATAGAGAGCGACTGGAAGATCCAAGTGACATGGATCTAGTTTTATTTTGAAATGAAGGAAGGGTCTTGCTATGTGGCTCCAGGTAGTCTCAAACTTAAGGTCCTCTTGCCTTGGCCTGAGTGCTGGGATTATAGGCTTGTGGCAACACACTTGACCTCATCTGCATGGTAACAGCATCCTTGGGCTGCTGGGAGAACGTATCTTCTGTGTATAGGGCGGGTGTGAAGTCTGGCAGGGGTGGACACTGAGAACAGCTGGGAGGTTCTAGAGCAGGGCAATCACACACATCATTGTGTCAATCTCATTTCTCTCTTACTGTTTCCCTTTTCCATTTTATACCCTAGGCCTCTTTGAAATTACTTCTCTCCCATGTTCCCACATCCATCCTTAACCCCACATCCCCAGTTCAGGCCATCATCATTCCCAGTCTGGATCCCTGCCATGGCCTCCCAGAACGAGGAATCTTACTCAAACGCTGTCCTGGTCAAACACTGACAAAAGTCTGACACTCTGCAAGACTACCATAGTGTAAGTCTCCTGCTCCACTGCTACCAGGCCACCCTGTCCTCCCAGTATGCGTTTTGAAAAAGGTCTGGTCTGTGGTAAGCTCGGACTCATTCATTACGTGTGCTCCCGTTGCAATTGCCACAACCTCTGCTTGTCGTTGCAATAGCCACAACCATAGCTGGTTTGTCTACTCTCCATTAGACCAAGCAGCGAATATTGACTGCATTTACGCGGAATCTTTAATGAACAACAATGTTCGCCGTAGGAAAAGAAAATGGACCCGCCTTTAAAAAAACATAAAAACTCATAAAGAGGAGGGTCTACGGCTTAATAATTAAGCTTTGAAGCAGAGGACCTAGAATAGCAGCTTAGATTCTGACCCTGTCACCTAATTGCCAGTGAAGCCACTTTCTAGCTAGCAAACTTGGGTCAGCATACACTGTCTCCTCGCGCCAAGGGAAAAGGAGTCCGGGGCTTCGGGAGGTGGCATTTTGGCCCAGGACGCCCCGTTCCGACACAGCTCGGTCCATACCACTTCCCCTGCCGTAGTTCAGGAACCCCCTAGAGTCTGAAATCCCACCCTGGAATTTCTTTCTCTCGTAACAATTGTCCCTTACCGAGAAACCTCTGGGACCCGGGACCCCAGTCTTCGTGTCCGTTTCCCCCCCCCCCCCCCCCCCGGCCGCGGCTTACATTTTCTTAGCCACATCGGTCTCGCGGAACTGCTGTTTCACCATGGTGCCGGCTGCCCGGGCACCCTTCGCAGGGCTCTGACTACAGACACCGCTGTCGCTGAACCTTCCGGGGGTGCTTCTGGCTTCAGAGCTAACAGAACTGTAGCACTTCTTCGGCCACCGTAGAACGCCGCACGTGCCGCTTCCTCTTCCGCTGCCGGAGTTTAAGAGAGGCTTCTCGCACGCTGTTTTGCGACCTCCTTCTACACCGCCACCTAGCGACACTTCATAAAAATGCACCTAGGCCATGTGGATCAAAGAAAATCCCTTTTCCCATGAGTTTCTCAAAACGACAGAGGAGTGAGAAGTACCACATTTATCCCAAAGCCAAAAATAAAAAATAAAAATAAAAAATTGTGAATGAAGAGCATCTAATTGTTTGAGACACTGAAAGTCAAAATCTACCTGCCGAAGGAACAGAAGAGCGCCATGGTGGGCAATCAAAAGAGGAAATAAGTAGCAGAAGACAAAGCTGCACACACAAGCCTCTAGTCTGTAACGTTATTTGAGGGGAAGATGTATTTATACAATTGCAAACTAGGACGTGTGTGTGTGTGTGTGTGTGTGTGTTTGCGTGTATTTTGTTTCCTGAGGAAGGATCTCACTCTATACCCCCTGCTGGTCTTGAACTTGCCATCCTTCTGCCTTCATATTCTCGGTGTTTAGATAACATATCTAGCATAAATATATATGTGTGTACATATATATATGTGTGTGTCATATACGTATATATATATATGATTCATTTTAATTATGTGTTTTGTAAACAGGTGTAGCAAGAACCCACAGAATCCCACCCCTCTTTATGGAAAGAACAGTATATTAAGAACTGCCTGGTTGCCTCTAAGGATAGAAGACAATTGAAAAAGATTGTTAGGTTTTATAGCATTATATGATTGGGTTGGGGCAGCTCAGAAAATGAATTGTTTAGCCAGAGAACTCTGTGAGGCAGAGGAGACTCTGACAGACTCCTTCAGGGCCTTCAGCCATCTGTTAACTGCTTCTGAGAAATGCTTTAAGTTTCTGTTTCCTAGTAAAACCAAGCTCAGGTGGAACCCAGACCATCACCCTAAAATATTGCAATCCGCACTGCCATTTTGGGGCCTGCTTTGGGGACCTAACATGCTTGTGTATATGCACATACGTGCAGGCAGATGCCAGAGGTATAGCCTTTGCACACTAGCTGCTGGGGTGCTCTGCTATTCCCCTTGGAAAAATGCACGATTACATTCATTTTCACGTACTGCTCCACTTTTTTGTTGTTGTTGTCTTGTTTTTGTTTTGTTTTGTTTTGAGACAGGGTTTCTCTGTGCAACTTTGGAGCCTGTCCTGGCACTCGCTCTATAGACCGGGATGGCCTCAAATTCCAAGAGATCCACCTGCTTCTGCCTCCCAAGTGCTGGGATTAAAGGCGTGTGCCATCACCACCCGGCCACACTGCTCCACTTTATGCAAAGTGTAACTTCTGAATCGGGAAACATTAAAGGCTAATTTTGTACAAGAACACAGATTTGGGGAAAAAGAGAAACTATCTTTGAGATAGTTCTGTGTACCCTACTTGCTCAGGGTGGACCCAAGTTCTGATCTTGTTCAGATTTGCAGACACACGGGATCATAGGTTTCTGCCACTATTCCTGGCTCAAATAGATGACTTCACTTTTCCCTTTTTAGTGCTAGTGACTGAACTACATTCTCGCTTCTTTCAAAACTTTCGTTGGAGCCAGGATCCCACCAGGCTGGTCTGCAAATCGCTATGTAACCCAGGGCAGGTTTCAAACTTTTGATCCTCTTGCCTGACTATGTCTGGCTCAGCAAATTTTAGAGATGCTCAGTAAATCTCAAAACCAAATTATACCAACTCAATCACCTCCCAATCCAATATATTGGTACATGTGTGGGCACACTTAGGAGGTGAAGGCAGGAGGATCAGGAATTCAGGATAATTCTTGGCAATACAATGAATTTTTCCAGGCCTTGATGGGCGTCACTGAAAGATCCCGCTTCAAAGAATCCAAAACATCACACATGAAAAAAATTTTACGAAAAAAATAAGTAACAACGTGAAGTGCTGCAAACATGAAATGAAAGATTGAGTTAAGGTTTCTACTGTTTCCCTCTGCGTAAAACGGGCATGCCGCCTGAAAGGCCTTCTTTAAACGTCTTCAAGTTGAACTCATCTGGAGGCAATTTTTATTTTATTTTTGAGTCAGGGTTGATGTGGGATGAGTCCTGACTGACCTAAAACTACCTATGTAGACCGTGCTGGGCTTGAACTCAAGAGATCTGCCTGCCTCTGCTTCTCACGCCCGATTTGATTAAAGCAATGTAAACAAAGTGAACTGTGCCGGGTGTGGTGGCACCTGCCTTAAATCCCGTCACACAGAAGGCAGAGAAGGCAGAGTTCCAGGACGCTAACGACAACGTGGTGGTAGCATGCCTTTAATTCCAGCACTCAGGATGCAGAAGCAGGGGGATCTCTATGAGTTCGAGGCCAGCATGGTCTACAGAACGAGTTCCAGGACTGGCTCCATAGCTACTGAGAAACCCTGTTTTGAAAAACCAAAAAGACAAAGGAACAAACAAAAACAAAACAAAGCAAACAAAAAAAATCAAGAGGGAGAAGTTTAATTGCAAAAGAACACGCCATTGCGCAATCACAAACCGGGCTGGCTAGACCTGGGGGCGTGTCTAGAGGCCAGAGCGGCGTGGCTTTAGGCACTTTCAATCAGGCATTGGCGTGGTCTGCCCCTAGGCTTTAGCCACGCCTCCGCGCCAGGACCCGGGTCCTTCCGTGCGCGTTGATATGATTGGCCGACCGCGAGCGGGCCTCTTTTCCTGCTTTAGCAGCTCGCCGCGGCCGTCATCATGGTGAGTCTCCTCGGGTTGTCGGCTCCATCCGTGGCGTATCCGCGCCATCCCTGCCCCTGCAGGCCTGCCACTGCACTCGTAGCCTGCTGGGGCCCACCCACTCTGCTCGGGCCATGTCGCACGGATCCCGGTCGCTCTGGCCGCCGAGCCGGGGTCGTCTGACCGCTCTCCGGAACACCCCGGACAGCCTGGTCTCGGGGCCGCCGAATTTGGGCCGGGCTGGCGGGCCGAGGTGAAGAAGACACCTCACCATCTCCTGGTGGCATTTGCGGTTGCAGTAACGTGGGGTGCTCTGTAGGGAGTGAGCGGTATCTGATGCCCAGTGGCCAGGGATTCTTAAGAAATCTTCACAACTTAAGAGTTAAGAAAGACCAATAGTGCTGAGCTTGAACTTTAGTTTAGAAGCTAAAATGATGGCTACCATTTAAAAGTTAACTGTCGATGCGCTATGGTGGCGCACGCCTTTAATCCCAGCACTTGAGAGTCAGGGAGATCTCTGCGAGTTCGAGGCCAACCTGGTCTACGAAGCGAGTTCCACAACGGCTAGCACTGTTAAGAGAGAAACCCTGTCTCGAAAAATCAAGAAAGAGGGAAGGAAACTGATCACAGAAAATAAGAGGTTTGTGGTAACTTTACGTGGTGGTTGAGGTTGCCACCCTGGGACACGTTAGTAGTTATTGAAGTAGCATGGCAAAGACAAGAAAGGGTTAACATAATCTTACTAACCTGTGTGTTACCTGCAGAACGACACAGTAACGATCCGGACCAGGAAGTTCATGACCAATCGTCTACTTCAAAGAAAACAGATGGTAAGGGTGGGCATGTCTAAATTTGGTGTGTTGGGTCTTAATTTTGAAGATGTAGTTAATTGTAACATACTAAATTTAGACCTCTTTTTTTAGGTTATTGATGTCCTTCACCCTGGGAAGGCAACAGTCCCAAAGACAGAAATTCGGGAGAAGTTAGCCAAAATGTACAAAACCACACCAGATGTCATCTTTGTATTTGGATTCAGAACTCATTTTGGTGGTGGGAAAACAACTGGCTTTGGCATGATCTATGATTCCCTCGATTATGCAAAGAAGAATGAGCCCAAACACAGGCTTGCAAGAGTATGTATCTTGTTTATTTTCCAATATTACCGTGCTGTGAATAGATAGAATGGGCAATAGCAAATAGTTTGGAACAGCAAACATGTACTAGGAATCCTAAAAGGGTTAATAGAGGGTTCTTTGCTTAATCCAGAGGTTCCTGGTTGTCTGTTGACTTTAAAAGACCTGTCAATATGGTATTAGGATACTTTCCCAAGCTTTCCTCCTACCCCTTAGCCCATCTCCATGTAATTGATCTGTCCTGAACTGGAACTCAATAACAGTCTTCCCACAGCCTCCTAAGTGGTGGGGTTGCAGGTGTGCACTGCCACATGTGGCTAGGAAGAAGTTGGTGGTTATTTAATGGGCAAGCTACAGTGTATTGCAACGCACTGGCAGTAGCTTTAAAATTTTAGGGCCGAATTCCATCTAGTTCAAAACTGGTAACAGGCTTGATACTTCATTGATGATGAGAACCTTTATTGTATAAGTTTGTTCTCACTGTGTTGCCCAGATTGACCTAGAACTTGTGATCCTCTGCCTCCGAGGTGGTAAGATTACAGGCGGGGACCACCAGACCTGACTTGTTTGTTTCCCTGTTTGAACAGGGCAGAGCCTCTAGCATAAGAGGGACACAAATTTGCAGCGATCACTTTACTCCACCTTAAATGCTAGGATTGTAAGTGAGCCGCCATGCTCAGTGAGTTTTCTTCCTTTTGAATCCAGTTACTGCTTGCTATGGTGAATCCTCTAGTAGAACAGTTTTGTAGGAAGATTTGCTAAATGCCATTTTTGTTGAGATGGTACTGCCTCTGAATGCTGGGATTGGGGATGTGAGCCACTACAGATGACTAGATAGCCTTTTTAAAGTGTTACTCTGAATCCATTTCTGAAGTAAGTGCCTGGGAGCCTTGGGAAGACCTTGCCAGGAAGAACCAAGAGCAGATTAATGGGTTAGGTCCTTGGTGGAAAGGGTAGAGAGAGCTCTTAGTATAAGTGACACCTGTCACTTCACTAGAGAAGTAGGAATTGGAAGGGAAGTCTGTTGAACAATGTCATGACAGCTTAAAAAGGTATATTGGGTTCTGTGGTGTTGGTACAGGCTTGTAATCCCAGCCAGAGGCAGGCAGATGTTAATTCAAGGACAGCCAGGGCTAAACAAAAACCCTGTCTCAAAAAAGTATGT